GCCTGTCTCACATCTTCAGGAAGACTGTTCCAGATTTTAGCAGCATGAATCTGAAAAGCAGCCTCCCCATGTTTAGTCCTGACTCTGGGCACTAACAGGAGTCCAGTCCCTGTGCTCCTCAGAGTCCGGGCTGGTTCATATGGGACTAACATGTCACTAATATATTTTGGTGCGAGGCTATGGAGAGACTTGTAACAAGCAGAGCTGTTTTAAAGTCTATTCTCTGAGCCACAGGAAACCAGTGCAGGGACCTGAGGACTGGACTAATGTGGTCGTACTTCCTGGTTCTAGTCAGGACTCGAGCTGCTGCATTTTGAATGTACTGCAGCTGTTTTACAGCCTGTTTGGACAGACCTGTGAGCAGGCCATTGCAGTAGTCTAACCTACTGGAGACAAATGCATGGATAAGAATCTCCAAGTCTGCTTTAGACACTATGTTTTTGATCCTGGCAATGTTTTTTAGATGGTAAAAAGCTGCTGATGTTACTGATTTGATGTGGCTATTAAAATTTAAGTCTGAGTCCAGTATTACCCCTAGATTTCTGACCGGGTTTGAAGGTTTTAGGGAGAGAGACTGGAGGTGACAGATGACGCTCTCTCTTTGTTTCTGGGGACCAAAGACAATCATTTCAGTTTTGTCTGCGTTTAGCTGAAGGAAGTTGTTTTGCATCCACTCACTGATCTGTTGGATACAGTGAAGGAGTGAGTCCACTGGTCCATGTTCTCCTGCAGTCAGTGAGACATAGATCTGAGTGTCGTCTGCATAGTTGTGATACGACACTTTGTTTCTTCCAGATTTTAGCTGCATAAATCTGGAATGCTGCCTCCATGTTTAGTTCTGACTCTGGGCACCCGCAGGAGTATATGTGGGAGACATGGTTCAGTTTATTTATTCTATTTTGTATAGTTTTCTTGTTGTTTCTGGATAATATGACAAAAGATGCGGAGGTCTGGGATTGTAGATTTGTAGAGTCTATATGGATAGTTATGCTAGCTTCAACCTAAACATAACCGAAAACCAAGTGGAATATCTTCTACAGACATAATAGCATCAAAAGTGTCATAAAAAATCTATGTTTCCATTACTCGTGGTGGCTGAGTGGGAATACCAGGTGCCGCAGTGGGCCTTTGTCATTGATTGGTTGGTTTTTAGAGTGGGTAACGATACTGTCTGCTGATTGGATGCCGAGAGTGAGTGGGCGGTGCCTCTAACAGCCTGTACGGTGGTGAGTGTGGACCTCCTGAAGACTTCCATCTGTTTGGACCATCTGCTCCTCACCCAGCACCGACAAATATTCAGATAATCATACACAACAGAGACTTAAAAGCGTGTCCTGTTTAGCGAGAATATATGAGAACTAGTGAAATCTTTGGTAAAGGCGGGAGAATAACTTCCAAATCACCCCAAAAAAATCTGAATAAACACACACGTATTTAGCGCAAAGCATCATGGGTGAGTTCCGCTAATCTTTCGGTCATTTATTTGAATAGGGCGCCATCTTGGATCACCGGGGCTTGGTTTTTCACATTTTCCTGTCCCCGCGTCCAACTTGAAAAAGCCCATACGCCAAAAGTGGTGACACATTAGTTTGAACGGTGGCGATAGGTGTGACTCCGTCCGTTAATATTAAAGTCTAAGTAACAAACACATAGAAACCAATGGTCCATGGAGAGCGACCAATGTCCATAACAGCGAATACATGCATTAGATCATCCTACCTTAAACGTGGCCACCATGTTCACGTCTTTGTCATTTCAGCCCAGACTATGTGATGTTTCAAAGTGGGGTTTTTGTTCTTTTGCGCAGTCGGTGATTAATTACAGCGACGTGAATGAGGCTAGTGCTGAACAAACAGAAGGAGCAGGTGCGGAGGTGTTAGAGGGAGATAAATAATGCCGTTCTCCTCCACGCACTCAGACGGTTCGCTGCTGCTGTCGGGGACTCTAGGATTATTAGGTTTATCCAGTTTTCCAATCATGAGAAGAAAAATAAACAAATTTCTACTTCAAGATAAGATAGACGGTATTGATCTAATACTTGAGAAATGTCCATGTCACATTTGGCACAACAAAAAACAGAAGTGTGCAAACATGTTAAAAATATAGTCTGTGCAGGATATAATTATGTACAATAAAAAAGTGGCAATAAAAGAAAGAGTGGGAAAAGCAGTGCTGTTTTTATTTTCAGTCCTAGTGCATTAGTGACTTAAATTGACTTGTTGTACAGTCTGACAGCGGTGGGGATAAAGGCCCTGCAGTAGCGCTCCTTCTTTCACTGTTTTCCATTACTATTTCCATCTGTCACTTCAACAATAAAAAGGAATGAGTTTGAAAGCCTGTCAGCACATGTGTTTGAGCCCGCCCCCACTGGTTTAACGAGACTAACGAGACTAACGAGACTAACGAGACTAACGAGACTAACGAGACTAACGAGACTAACGAGACACAGGTGAGACAGGAGAGGGCGGGGCATGTCATCAGAAACAGGAAGAAAAACTGAGGATAAAAGGTAGCAAATTATGCCAAATGTGACATACAGACAGACAGACAGATAGATGGATGCTTTATTAATCCCCATCGGAGAAATTCAGGTGTCCAGTAGCAGCAAAAATAAACTAAATAAAATTGATCATTCAAAAAAAGCTAACAATAGTAATAATCAGCAACAGCCCTTCAGGAGTAGTCTCTGGGTGGAGCAGGACCGGTCACAGCAGCAGAGGTGGAGTAGCCTCTGGGTGGAGCAGGACGGGTCACAGCAGCAGAGGTGGAGTAGCCTCTGGGTGGAGCAGGACGGGTCACAGCAGCAGAGGTGGAGTAGTCTCTGGGTGGAGCAGGACGGGTCACAGCAGCAGAGGTGGAGTAGCCTCTGGGTGGAGCAGGACGGGTCACAGCAGCAGAGGTGGAGTAGTCTCTGGGTGGAGCAGGACCGGTCACAGCAGCAGAGGTGGAGTAGCCTCTGGGTGGAGCAGGACGGGTCACAGCAGCAGAGGTGGAGTAGTCTCTGGGTGGAGCAGGACCGGTCACAGCAGCAGAGGTGGAGTAGCCTCTGGGTGGAGCAGGACGGGTCACAGCAGCAGAGGTGGAGTAGCCTCTGGGTGGAGCAGGACGGGTCACAGGAGCAGAGGTGGAGTAGTCTCTGGGCGGAGCAGGACGGGTCACAGCAGCAGAGGTGGAGTAGTCTCTGGGTGGAGCAGGACCGGTCACAGCAGCAGAGGTGGAGTAGCCTCTGGGTGGAGCAGGACGGGTCACAGCAGCAGAGGTGGAGTAGTCTCTGGGTGGAGCAGGACCGGTCACAGCAGCAGAGGTGGAGTAGCCTCTGGGTGGAGCAGGACGGGTCACAGCAGCAGAGGTGGAGTAGTCTCTGGGTGGAGCAGGACGGGTCACAGCAGCAGAGGTGGAGTAGCCTCTGGGTGGAGCAGGACGGGTCACAGCAGCAGAGGTGGAGTAGCCTCTGGGTGGAGCAGGACGGGTCACAGGAGCAGAGGTGGAGTAGCCTCTGGGTGGAGCAGGACGGGTCACAGCAGCAGAGGTGGAGTAGCCTCTGGGTGGAGCAGGACGGGTCACAGGAGCAGAGGTGGAGTAGCCTCTGGGTGGAGCAGGACGGGTCACAGCAGCAGAGTTGGAGTAGTCTCTGGGCGGAGCAGGACGGGTCACAGCAGCAGAGGTGGAGTAGTCTCTGGGTGGAGCAGGACGGGTCACAGCAGCAGAGGTGGAGTAGTCTCTGGGTGGAGCAGGACGGGTCACAGCAGCGGAGGTGGAGTAGCCTCTGGGTGGAGCAGGACGGGTCACAGCAGCGGCGGTGGAGTAGTCTCTGGGCGGAGCAGGACGGGTCACAGCAGCAGAGGTGGAGTAGTCTCTGGGTGGAGCAGGACGGGTCACAGCAGCAGAGGTGGAGTAGTCTCTGGGTGGAGCAGGACGGGTCATAGCAGCAGAGGTGGAGTAGTCTCTGGGTGGAGCAGGACGGGTCACAGCAGCAGAGGTGGAGTAGTCTCTGGGCGGAGCAGGACGGGTCACAGCAGCAGAGGTGGAGTAGTCTCTGGGTGGAGCAGGACGGGTCATAGCAGCAGAGGTGGAGTAGTCTCTGGGTGGAGCAGGACGGGTCACAGCAGCAGAGGTGGAGTAGTCTCTGGAGCAGGACCGGTCACAGCAGCAGAGGTGGAGTAGCCTCTGGGTGGAGCAGGACGGGTCACAGCAGCAGAGGTGGAGTAGCCTCTGGGTGGAGCAGGACCGGTCACAGCAGCAGAGGTGGAGTAGTCTCTGGGTGGAGCAGGACGGGTCATAGCAGCAGAGGTGGAGTAGTCTCTGGGTGGAGCAGGACGGGTCACAGCAGCAGAGGTGGAGTAGTCTCTGGAGCAGGACCGGTCACAGCAGCAGAGGTGGAGTAGCCTCTGGGTGGAGCAGGACGGGTCACAGCAGCAGAGGTGGAGTAGCCTCTGGGTGGAGCAGGACGGGTCACAAAGTGAAGTAGCCGCTTGGTTCGGACCATTTTCTCTGCTCTGGTCCAAAGTAAAATGCTGAATGGTTCATTAGCATTTTTCAGAACGTTAGCATTCCTCCAATGGATTTTCATCTGATCCACATGGTTCGGACCATGAATCCTCTCTGCTCTGGTCTGGACCAGTGCAAAACCATGAACACTGTACTGCAGCAACATCTCAGGCAGAAAAAAATCAAGAAAAATACAGTATGCTACTTAGGACCTGCTGCCGTTTTCCAGCTCATTCTAAAGTAAACACGTACATTTCTCCATTGTGAGATCATTAAAGTCCATCTTAAATGATCAAATTACAAAACGAAACAGGAAATAAAGCTAAACCGTGACAAATGGAGGTTTTTGTGTGGATTGTGGTGGATCTGGCAGCCTGAGAACAAAGGGCTTTGTCTCTGGGGCACATGCGGTCCAGGTTTTGTGGCTGCTGCCCCGCACTGAGGAAGCGTGCGGCCTGATAAAGACGCCGTTGTGCGCCGGGATAATAACGCACATTGTTGGGATGTCACAGATGAAGAGGCTCCGTGTAACGCAGAGGCAGGAGGAGCCCCCCACTGTGGGACGCCTGCTCCAGAGGCCACATGGTACTGGCCCTCCACCACACAGATGCTACAGGGCAAACACTAATATTTCATTTGGGTTGGAAATTGCTATAGTGTGTGTGTGTGTTCGCTTTAGTGTCTTATGGTTAGTGATAGGGTGTGTGTGTGTGTGTGTGGGTGTGTGTGTGTTATAAGATGAGGAAAAACTGATATTTTAATAAATATATTTTGCTGTCTTTATCGCATTAGAAAACATGATGTCTTTTACTGAGAGCTGATTGGCTGAGAGAGTGCCGTACTCTTGTTGGAACTAGTGACATGGATTGAATTACATTGTTCGTTTTTTTGTGGTTCCAAAGTTAGGTATACTCCAGCTTTATATTATTTCATCCTTAAAGTGCGTTACAACATTGTTCCCTCATCCAAAACTGACCCGGACGTCCCACAATGAGAGAGGGTTTTGATCCCACGGACAGACTGGCTCGATCCAGAACTCAGACTGTTTTTTTTAGGGCAATTGATTGATAGGTTTTCAAACGTTAACTAATCATGTCATTCTATAATGCTGTAAAAATACAGTGACTTTGCAATATTTGATCAGAATATAAAAGGTCAGCTGCAGAATAAGCCAGTAAATTATCTTAAATCCCCATATTTTGAACAGAATTACCACTTTTTAACACTGTTGGGAGTTAGATAATTTGTTTGGACAGAAAGATTTTGAACTTTGCACCTATTGTTGTCTCATATATCTCTTTTTGTCCAGTTACGACAGAGAAAAACTATACATTTTGTTGAGTACCTTCTCTGGCCTCTGGGGAACGACGCTGCTCTTGGTTTGTCGTTAATATTGAAATGTGACTTTTTACACAGGCCCTGGTTTGTCTGCTGCAGTCTCAGATCCAGTCTCAGATCCTTGTTAGCAGCTTGGTCCTGGTCCTGGGTAGATTTCAGTGGAGTCAGTATTTCCATGTTTAGCTCCGGTCACTGAGACCACGTGGCGCTCTCCCCATGGAGCAGCAGATGGATCCTCACATGAAAAATAAAGCCGTCAGAAGCAGCCTCTTCTTCCTCCGTCTTCCCATCCGCCCATCCGCCATACATCACCTGAACCAGAACCACATTTCTCATAGTATAGTAGAAATATGGGATACAATGAAAGATTATTTAACAGTGTATTCCCAAGAACAGAACCACGTCATTGATTGTTGTTATAGTTGGACCCAAAAATGCAAAAATAATAAGTGTTTAATTCAAACTTATATATTTCATACAAAAATAACTAAATGCAGTTTGAAAAGGGGTTGGAAGAAGCAAATGTTTATTGGGCTCCAACTCCCCTTGTTCACACGACACACACACACACACACACACACACACACGCACAGACCTAAACACACATACACACACACAAACACACACAGACCTAAACACACATACACACACACACCCACACACACACATGCACAGACCTAAACACACATACATACACACACACACACACACGCACAGACCTAAACACACATACATACATACACACACACACACACACCCACACACGCACAGACCTAAACACACATACATACACACACACACACACATACACACGCACAGACCTAAACACACATACACACACACACACACCCACACACACACACACGCACAGACCTAAACACACATACACACACACACCCACACACACACATGCACAAGCCTAAAACACTGTATTAAATTAGTTTAATGAGACTGTTTTAATTTCATGATGGTTGAAAAGCATATGGTTTAGTTAGGACATCCTGAGGGCTACTTTTTCTCAAATCTTCGATAAATATATAACTTAAAATAGGAGAACTTTGAGATGACTACTGTTGTGATTTAGGGCTTTACAAAAATACATGGAATTGAAGTGAATATACAGTATGTAGCGTGACAGAAGCCGATGTTTACACTACGACGCTGAAGGATTTCTGCCGATGATTTCCCTGCTGTTGTCCAGTCAAGGGGAGCTCCTGCTTGGTTGGAATAATAAAACTGGAAACATTTATGACAAATAAGTGAAAATGGATGAGATTTGATTACATTTTGACTGCCTTAACACAAAACATGCCAATGGGACAAAGCAAAATGATCTTGTTTTAAAAAAATACAAGAAAGGTTTTCATTGGAATGAGAAAAGAAAGCAATAGTTCAGTTTGAGGACCAGTTTGAAGACCAGTTTGAAGACCAGTTTGAAGACCAGTTTAAGGACCAGTTTGAGGACCAGTTTGAAGACCAGTTTGAAGACCAGTTTGAAGACCAGTTTGAAGACCAGTTTGAGGACCAGTTTGAGGACCAGTTTGAAGACCAGTTTGAGGACCAGTTTGAGGACCAGTTTGAAGACCAGTTTGAGGACCAGTTTGAAGACCAGTTTGAGGACCAGTTTGAGGACCAGTTTGAAGACCAGTTTGAAGACCAGTTTGATGACCAGTTTGAAGACCAGTTTGAAGACCAGTTTGAAGACCAGTTTGAGGACCAGTTTGAAGACCAGTTTGAGGACCAGTTTGAAGACCAGTTTGAAGACCAGTTTGATGACCAGTTTGAAGACCAGTTTGAGGACCAGTTTAAAGACCAGTTTGAAGACCAGTTTGAAGACCAGTTTGAGGACCAGTTTGAGGACCAGTTTGAAGACCAGTTTGAGGACCAGTTTGAAGACCAGTTTGAGGACCAGTTTGAGGACCAGTTTGAGGACCAGTTTGAAGACCAGTTTGAAGACCAGTTTGAGGACCAGTTTGAGGACCGTTTGAAGACCAGTTTGAAGACCAGTTTGAGGACCAGTTTGAAGACCAGTTTGAAGACCAGTTTGATGACCAGTTTGAAGACCAGTTTGAAGACCAGTTTGAAGACCAGTTTGAAGACCAGTTTGAGGACCAGTTTGAAGACCAGTTTGAAGACCAGTTTGATGACCAGTTTGAGGACCAGTTTGAGGACCAGTTTGAAGACCAGTTTGAAGACCAGTTTGAAGACCAGTTTGAGGACCAGTTTGAGGACCAGTTTGAAGACCAGTTTGAGGACCAGTTTGAAGACCAGTTTGAGGACCAGTTTGAGGACCAGTTTGAGGACCAGTTTGAAGACCAGTTTGAAGACCAGTTTGAAGACCAGTTTGAGGACCAGTTTGAAGACCAGTTTGAAGACCAGTTTGAGGACCAGTTTGAAGACCAGTTTGAAGACCAGTTTGAAGACCAGTTTGAGGACCAGTTTGAGGACCAGTTTGAAGACCAGTTTGAAGACCAGTTTGAAGACCAGTTTGAAGACCAGTTTGAAGACCAGTTTGAGGACCAGTTTGAAGACCAGTTTGAGGACCAGTTTGAGGACCAGTTTGAAGACCAGTTTGAAGACCAGTTTGAGAACCAGTTTGAGGACCAGTTTGAAGACCAGTTTGAAGACCAGTTTGAAGACCAGTTTGAGGACCAGTTTGAGGACCAGTTTGAGGACCAGTTTGAGGACCAGTTTGAAGACCAGTTTGAGGACCAGTTTGAGGACCAGTTTGAAGACCAGTTTGAGGACCAGTTTGAGGACCAGTTTGAAGACCAGTTTGAGGACCAGTTTGAGGACCAGTTTGAAGACCAGTTTGAGGACCAGTTTGAGGACCAGTTTGAAGACCAGTTTGAGGACCAGTTTGAAGACCAGTTTGAGGACCAGTTTGAGGACCAGTTTGAAGACCAGTTTGAAGACCAGTTTGATGACCAGTTTGAAGACCAGTTTGAGGACCAGTTTGAAGACCAGTTTGAAGACCAGTTTGAAGACCAGTTTGAGGACCAGTTTGAAGACCAGTTTGAGGACCAGTTTGAAGACCAGTTTGAAGACCAGTTTGATGACCAGTTTGAAGACCAGTTTGAGGACCAGTTTGAAGACCAGTTTGAAGACCAGTTTGAAGACCAGTTTGAGGACCAGTTTGAGGACCAGTTTGAAGACCAGTTTGAGGACCAGTTTGAAGACCAGTTTGAGGACCAGTTTGAGGACCAGTTTGAGGACCAGTTTGAAGACCAGTTTGAAGACCAGTTTGAAGACCAGTTTGAGGACCAGTTTGAAGACCAGTTTGAAGACCAGTTTGAGGACCAGTTTGAAGACCAGTTTGAAGACCAGTTTGAAGACCAGTTTGAAGACCAGTTTGAGGACCAGTTTGAGGACCAGTTTGAAGACCAGTTTGAAGACCAGTTTGAAGACCAGTTTGAAGACCAGTTTGAGGACCAGTTTGTAGACCAGTTTGAGGACCAGTTTGAGGACCAGTTTGAAGACCAGTTTGAAGACCAGTTTGAGAACCAGTTTGAGGACCAGTTTGAAGACCAGTTTGAAGACCAGTTTGAAGACCAGTTTGAGGACCAGTTTGAGGACCAGTTTGAGGACCAGTTTGAAGACCAGTTTGAGGACCAGTTTGAGGACCAGTTTGAGGACCAGTTTGAAGACCAGTTTGAGGACCAGTTTGAGGACCAGTTTGAGGACCAGTTTGAAGACCAGTTTGAGGACCAGTTTGAAGACCAGTTTGAAGACCAGTTTGAAGACCAGTTTGAGGACCAGTTTGAAGACCAGTTTGAGGACCAGTTTGAGGACCAGTTTGAAGACCAGTTTGAAGACCAGTTTGAGGACCAGTTTGAGGACCAGTTTGAAGACCAGTTTGAAGACCAGTTTGAAGACCAGTTTGAAGACCAGTTTGAGGACCAGTTTGAGGACCAGTTTGAGGACCAGTTTGAGGACCAGTTTGAAGACCAGTTTGAGGACCAGTTTGAGGACCAGTTTGAGGACCAGTTTGAGGACCAGTTTGAAGACCAGTTTGAAGACCAGTTTGATGACCAGTTTGAAGACCAGTTTGAGGACCAGTTTGAAGACCAGTTTTAAGACCAGTTTGAGGACCAGTTTGAAGACCAGTTTGAAGACCAGTTTGAAGACCAGTTTGAGGACCAGTTTGAAGACCAGTTTGAGGACCAGTTTGAGGACCAGTTTGAGGACCAGTTTGAGGACCAGTTTGAAGACCAGTTTAAAGACCAGTTTGAGGACCAGTTTGAAGACCAGTTTGAGGACCAGTTTGAAGACCAGTTTGAGGACCAGTTTGAAGACCAGTTTGAGGACCAGTTTGAGGACCAGTGTGAGGAACAGTTTGAGGACCAGTTTGAAGACCAGTTTGAGGACCAGTTTGAGGACCAGTTTGAAGACCAGTTTGAGGACCAGTTTGAGGACCAGTTTGAGGACCAGTTTGAAGACCAGTTTGAAGACCAGTTTGAAGACCAGTTTGAAGACCAGTTCGAGGACCAGTTTGAAGACCAGTTTGAAGACCAGTTTGAAGACCAGTTTGAGGACCAGTTTGAAGACCAGTTCTCTAAACACTAATGCTACAAGTATGAGTTCTGATATGATTTTCTTCTTGTTGTTTCAGGGGCCAGAAATCTAAAATGGGAGGCAAGCTGAGCAAAAAGAAGAAGGGATATAATGTAAACGACGAGAAGTCCAAAGAGAATGACGCCAATGCTGAGGGCGCTGCGGCCGAGGAGAGCGAAGCCCCCAAAGAAAACAAGGAAGAGAGCGGCGTGGCTGACGCTAAAGACGTCGCTAACGACACGGCGGCTAAAGACGCCCCGGCCGCCGACGCTACCACCCCCAAAGCCGAGGAGAAGAAAGAGGAGGCTAAACCCGCAGAAAGCGCTAAAGCCGAGGAGAAACCCGCGGCTAAAGCTGAGGAAAAACTCGCCGCTAAGGAGCCCGAGGCCAAGACAGCGCCTCCTGCAGCGGCGGAGGGCAAAGACGAGGCTAAAAAGACTGAAGCCCCAGCGGCTCCAGCCCCTGCAGCTGAGCCCAAGCCCACAGACGCAGCAGCAGCAGCTAAAGATGCTAACGCTAAGGAAGCTAGCCCCACACCAGCCGAGCCCCCCGCCAAGGAGGCCAACGCCACGGAGGCACCGAGCAAGGATCAAACCGTAGCAGTTCAAGATTAATGGACAGCTCTTTTTGGAAAAATTTAAGTCAACAATGTCACGTCAACGAAAAAAAAACCTGAAGAAGAACAACTCGCCCACGCATTTTTCTGCTAACAATAATAATAGCAATGTCGGGGACACGTGGAGCGAGCGGAGGGAAGCGCTGCACGTGTGACTGCTGCCGTTGTCATTGTTAGTTTTACTTCTTTTTCTGATGTAGTATTTGAACTTTGGTACGAGTCTGTTTTTCAACGTTTTTGATTTAGTTCCATCTTCACCGTCACCTCTCCCCGCAACCCTCTCCAAAAGTGTATGAGGCCGATTCGGACGCCATCGCCATGGTAACGGGTTTGTCTGATCACCACCGCACTTGTGATAAAGGCCTTTCTATTTGGAAGTTGTACTAATATTGATATAAAATTTAAAAAAAATAAACAGTTTATATTTTATTTAATAAATGTTGCAAAGCAGAAAATAGAACAAAGTCATATTTCTATAAAACACTTAAGCATGGCAAAACATGTGCAATATTCCGGAAAGTAAAAATGTGGTGAAAAATGATTGTTAATACTATACTAAAGCATTCTTACCGCATGAATTCTTATAACCCAAAATATGTATTCAATTTGCTTTTGTTTTATCATATTTTGATGTGTAATAATTATAATAAATAAATTTCATTATGATCATGTGACCGACGCCAACTACAGTTTATCATATTTAGTTTCGTCTGTGCCCCATATTATTTAAATATATATAATTATATTCATCTCCAGTAGATTCCACCACTTTACCAGCAGTCCTCATCTCTAGAATAATCTTAATTTTATACTCTTAAAATTAAAATATTGTCAAAAACACGCAACACTTTTGGCGCCGAACCAAATGTAGACCAATACAGAAAACGTAGAGAGATTTTTCAAAATAGATTTTTTACGAAATCATGAACGTAGATTTTTCACATTTGTAATTAAATCTACAAATCTGTCGAAGGTCTTTTACACAAAAAAATACAAGATTTTTTAAAAGTAGATGTATAACATTTACCTAGAATTTACCTTTGCACATTTGTTACAGTAAAAGCCTAAATTTAGCACAATTTTGGAGAAACATTAAAACGGTCTATATTTGCCCGGGACTGTTTTTCTGGAGAATCTAGTTCCTCTCAGACGCGGATTCTTGCGCCTGTGTGATGTCCAGCTACATTCCACCGATCACAAAGGCCTGTTTATTTAAAGGGAACTCTGAAATCTGAAAGAATCCCCTCATTCTCTCATCCATTTTCACGTCCGCCCTCGTCCAGTCGCGGCACACATGGACGGCTCTCGTGGGCGGCCTCAGCTCCGCGCTCCCGGCTCCGTGGAATCTACAGCGGCATTCTGGGAAGAGGTGGGCGGGGCGCGGTCTCTCAAACACACCGGCTTTGGCTGAGGGTCCCGCTGTAGTGTGTAGTGTACGGCGACAAATGGCAAGATTTGAATTATACGGTTGCAACGTAGCACCAGTTGATCCAGATTATCTTTCAGTCCTTTTCCAGTGTCCATAATTTAAAGTATCATTGATGAAGGACACATAATTTTGTTTTGTCAAATTGTGTTTTTTCAACCGTCTCACAGTTTCTCCTGTACGTAACTACAAATTTGAAAAGATTTATATAGTTGCACCAATCAAGATTTGTTTGTGTCCTTTTCCAGCGTTGATATTTCAAAGTATCGACGTTGGAAAAGAATGAGAAAAATCTGAATTTGTTGAAACGCTGATGTGGAAGTAAACCAGTGAAGAGACTGAAAATAGCTATTTTTGTGCTCTCTAATAACATTAAAATGGGTCAAATTGTGTTTGTTAACAGTCATACAGTAGCTCCTGCAAGTGACTGGAGATTTATTATGGAGGAGTCAGTTCTGTTTTCAGACTGAGTCAATCCAATGAAATCAGTAGAAAGACCTCGACCAGGAAACGATCTTAAACAATATAGTGATTCTTTATTCCTCCCACATTTTGTCAAAACATTTTAAATCGCAAGCAAAAAACAATTAAATCCTGTATCTTCAATATTAGTAGTACTGTAGTTTATTTTTTTCGTCATGAAGTACAGTAGATCAAAAAAAATTTACAACAAAGAGAAAAAAAACGTGTATTTTAGAAGAATTTCGGTGCTAAATGATGCCTGACCGCTGAATATGAAACTGTGTTCTTAATTATGGTCATAAAAATGCAGTTTTGCACAATCCTAATCTGTTTTTTTTCCCTTCACAAAGTCAGAAAGGCTGCGATTATTGTAAGAACTCTCCGCCTTCACGGTTCATACAAAACCCAGTGCTAAAGTATGATTTAGTTTCGTCTGACACCGGGGTAAGTGCTCGTCCGTCTCCGTTACTTAAAGCTGCCGCCCGTGAGTCTAGTCCATGTGTCCTTAGACCCCCCCTCCCTCTCCCGTTCCTTCCTCCACCCCCCTCCCCCCTCCTCAGTTGTCCTTCTGGGGCACGGGGGCAAGTCCTCGGCAGACTCGGTAGCAGTGAAGAACCCCCAGAGCCGGACCTGCGACCCCCCTGCCCCCGGGAGCCGCCCTGACTCGATAAATTTGCATGTCTGTGGTTTTGGGTGAATCTGTAGTCCTGTCTTTTTGGTCCCAGTGGAAAACCGATCCGGTCCAAACGTGTGCCGGGCCGGTGTGGGCACGGTGCTCGTCGAACCAAAACCAGTCAAAGTGAGATCAACATTTGGACATTGTGTGTATTTGTAAAAATGGTGCAACAATAAAACCACAACAATTGACTCCAAATACTGTGTTGTTATGTTGTTTTTTTAAAGTCACATTCTGGGGTTTAGGTTGGAGTGTGTTTGGCAAAAGTACAGATTTTTTATTTATTTTTTCCAAACATATTTTATTCGTTTTTTTTTTTTCACATTTCACACAAAGTTATGCACAAAGTATGTTTTTTTTTTTTTCAGAACAGGCAAAAATATAAAAATATATACTAAAATATTGAAAAAGTTGTGATAATAATAATAAATGTTGTTCATATAGTTTGACTTTTTATAAAAAAATTTCAAACATATTTTATTAGGTTTTTCATTTTTACATTTCACAAAAAGTTATGCACAAAGTAGGTTTTATTTTCAGAATAGGCAAAAAAAACTAAAATATTTTAAAAGTTGTAATAAATAAAAACAATAATAAAGTTAATAATCATAAATGTTGTTCATATTTCACTGTTATCAACAAAGTGCTCCTGAACAACAACAAAATGGAGAGGACAAAAGAAACATCACGAGTACGAGGTTTGTGGAGATGGACGTGTGTTTTTATACTTTTTAGTGGCATAAAACCAGAAGTTGTAAAGTAAAGATCTGAATGAGCGTCGACCCTAAACTCCACACAAAAATCATTTCAGGACCATGGACAGCACTTCCACTAAACACATAGGTTAAGAGAGCCCTCATTAGTCTTACTGTGGGGACATTTCAGTGTTGCATCACAAGTTACAGAACAGTAGGAACAAGGAGCACACAACACAAGATAAGTGAATTTAAAGAATAATAAGGATTACAGTAGCTCAGTTGGTAGAGCATTGGCCTTTGGGCCTGAAGGTTGTGGGTTCAAGCCCACCACAAGACTTCACGACCCCCACTGATGACTGCTGTCGTTGTGTCCTTGGGCAAGACACTTAACCCCACTTTGCCTGAAGCCCCCACTGAAAGATCAAGGCTCCTGCAGGAGGATCAGTGAGGGGCTGGTGCTCTGTGGACTGGGTGCAGCTCTGACTGCCACCCCCCGACCCAGAAATGGATTAAGGGGAAGAAGATGGATGGATAAGGATAGCTTTTTAAAACACAATGTACTTACTGGAGTAATGAGTGCGCCTGAAAACAAACCGAGTTGTTCTCATTTTTATATTTATATACCGCCTTTTACAGACCAAAGTCACAAAGCGTTTTACAATTGTTATTTTTTGGGCATTAGTCTCTCACTCCACACAGAGATGGGAGCGGGGCCAGTACAGGAGGCACATGACAGACCTATTACACATGTTTTTAGTGGTAGGGGAAATCGGAGCACCCGGAGGAAACCTACGCAGACACAGGGAGAACATGCAAACTCTACTCAGAAAGGCCCTGTTCTGACCAGGATTCGAACCCAGGACCTTCTTGCTGAGAGGCGAGAGTGCAATGTTAGTGTCATGTCCATAAAATAACATCAATAAAATCTCAAACTACTAATGTTGATTATACCATATCATTTTCTGCACAGTGGCGCAGTGGTTAGCGCTTGTGTTTCGCAGCAAGAAGGTTCTGGGTTTCCATTCCACCTCCAGACCTTTCTGTGTGGAGTTTGCATGTTCTCCCTATGTCTGCGTAGGTTTCCTCCGAGTGCTCCGGTTTCCCCCACCACTAAAAACATGTACAATAGGTCTGCCATGCGCCTCCTGTTGGTGACCCTGCTCCCATCTCTGTGTGGAGAGAGAGACTAATGCCCACAATAGTTGTAAAAAGTGCTTTGTGGCTCTGTATAGATGAAAAAGACTTACTTTTCACACGATCCAAACCTCTACTGTCTGTTTCAAAATGCCGTCTCTTCTTCTGTCGTCGCTCTGAAAGGCCCTAAAATAGCTTTTCTTTGTGTCTTCAGATGTTTTGAGCGAGTCCAGAACAATGAACTAAACGAGGCGCGGGTTTTGTTTGAAACAGAAGAGACGGACAGGCGGCAATTACACGCCACGGAACAGTCAGATCTGTCTACGCCTCAGAAAGTGAATAAGTGATAAGAACTGAGTGAAAGTCAATCCAGTGAAGAACCCGTCAGAAAACACAGAGCGGGTCATGAGGTGGAGGAGATCATGGAATATATCTATCAATGAATCTATATCTATTTGTGAATCACTTTTAAAAACAGCCAAAACAAAACCAAAGTGACAATTATTTATTATTATTTATCACACGGCTCCTCACAGCAGCAGTAGAACGCTCCATAGATGTGAATGTCATTTCAAAACGTTTTCTTATTTCTTGATAACTGACCTCTCAAAACAATAATGACCACTGCCCTTTGGCAACGCACCCTCTGCTTGTAATTCAGATGTGTAGATTACTCCGCAAGTAGTCCCGGCCACTTCGTCGCTACCACTGTCTCTGCAGAGAAGCCTTCGGAGCTAGCCACGCTCAATAAACGCAAATACCAATCAATCAACGCATTTAAATGTTAATCGGAGAATACACTAGACATATACATTTTTAACACACATGCACAGAGGTTTTCAGAAGTATCTGTTCAGGTTTTCATGACAAAAATACTGTTTTAATGCGACAAAAAGCGATCGCGAAAAACCCAGAAGTAGATTCCGGGACATTTTAGGAACATTTGCAGAGGATTGAATTATGGATTTAGGTTGAGTTTATGTTTGGGTCACTCACCGCTGATGTTCACAATTCTTTGTTCACTTTTCATGCAGTTCCACAGAGTTCTAGTACATATTTTTAACCAATAATCATATTCACCTCAAATAGACTGCACCACTTCACCATCAGTCTTCATCACTGGGACAATCTTTTATTTTATACTCTGAAAATCATAATATTGTAAAAAATGTGAACGGCCATGTTGTTGGTTGTAGTTTTTCATACAGTGTCACTTCAGCTGTTTCCGGTTCTTGAGCAACAAAGAAGAAGAGAAAAGAAAAAAAGGATGTTTCAATCTGGAGAGACGATATGCATAACCACCGCAGACTTAGAGTGGGTACAGTACTGATATATTTATTGCACATGAACATGAAGGGCCATGAAGCTTTGGCGATTAAGCCCCGGCAGGATTTCTCTCCTTTGAGTTTCATCATCTCCAAAACTCTGCTAAATTTAGACTTTTACTGCAAAACATGTGAAAAGTTAAATTCTAAGCAAATGTAACAAAATGTCTTATTGCCTAAGTACTGGTAATGGAAGAGCATTGGCCAGGGGGCTGAAGGTCGTGGGTTCGAGACCATCAAAAGACCTACTTCACGACTCCCACTGATGGCTGCTGTGGGAAGCCAGATCTAGCTGCCACCCCTGACCCAGAAATGGATTAAGGGGAAGAAGATGGATGGATGGTAGGTAGAAGTTGGTGTGTGTGGAGACTCTGCCCCCACACAAAGATGGGAGTGCACCATACAGAAGCCACCTGCCAGACCTACTGTAAGTTATAGATGTAGGGGAACCTGGAGCACCTGGAGGAAAAATACACAGATAAGGGAAGAACATGCAAACTTCACACAGAAATTTCCTGAGGTGGAGTTGAATTTCTGTGAAGCACAAGCACTAACCACAGCACCATTCGCTCTTGTTTATGTAAATGAGACCCAATTTACATAAACAAGTCCTGGGCTGTTCCCTGGACACAGTGCAGCAGGTGGGGGACAGGAGGGGGACAGGAGGGTCCTGAGCAAACTAACATCTATGCTGGACCATGACTGTCACCCCCTGCAGGACACACTCTCTGCTCTGGAGAGCAGCTTCAGTGACAGACTAATTCACCCTCGCTGTGTGAAGGAGAGGTTCCGTAGGTCTTTCCTTCCTGCTGCTGTCAGACTGTACAATAAGAACTGCTGAGTCTGTAAATTTATTTCATCTGTAATTAAGTACATTCTTAAATCATGTGCAATACTGCAACTTCAGAATATCACAGAACAATGTCACTTTACCTCATGTCACTTTACATATATACTTTTTCCATCCATCCATCCATTTTCTACCCTTTAATCCATTTCTGGGTCAGGGGGGTGGCAGTCAGAGATGCCACCCAAGTCTCATAGCACCAGCTCCTCACTGACCCTCTGCAGGTGGTGAGTGCACAGGAGGACGGCTGCTCTCTGAGTGTGAGCATAGCCTTGATCTTTCAGTGGGGGCTTTGGGCAAAGTGGGGTTAAGTGTCTTGCCCAAGGACACAACGACAGCAGTCATCAGTGGGAGTCGGTGGAGAAGGTGCAGAGGTGGGAATATATACTTTTTATCCTGCACTATTTAACTGTACAGTATATAACTGCACTACTACATATATATATTTTGACTGGTATTGAAGCATTTTCAGCATCTACAGCTAGTTATGTTAGCTAAGAAACATAGCTACTACTTATTTGTATATAGTGTATATATTGTGTGTGCTCCCTGTGTGCTCTTACTACTGTCCTATAAGTGCGACGCAACATCAAAATTTCCCCACTGTGGGACGAATAAAGGAATTCTTATCTTATCTTATCTTATAATCTCAAAAAATCTCAAAAAATCTAAAGTCTGGTTCCAGCTTCGTGTCAAACAGACTTTTCTCGCTCAGTTCTTCGTAGATGGAGCAACATTCCTCTCGTCTCCTACGAAGCCTCGACTTCACTCACTCCTCTGTAACGTTACGTAATCCGCTGAATATTTCAACAGGCTCCAGTGGACGAGAAAACGCCAACATGCTCCAAATTTAAATTAAATAAAATCTCTAACTTTACCAAAATAACGACGCAAGAATTAGGTATAAAATCTCTGAAATTAATAGTTGGACCACTGCACTGCAAACAATTACAATTTATTACCTCATATATAAATAGATGAGA